GATTAGTGATGTTGAGCATTTCTTCCCATGTCTCTTAGCCATTTGTATGTCCTGTTTGGAGAGGTGTCTATTTAGTTCCTCTTCCCATTTTTTAATTGGGTTCTTTGTCTTCCTTTTGTTGAGTTGTATGAGCACTCTATATATTTTGAAAATTAACCCCTTATTTGATGTATCATTGGCAATTATGCTCTCCCATAGAGTGGGTTGCCTTTCCATTTGGGTGGTTATTTCTTTTCCTGTGCAGAAGCTTTTGAGTTTGATGCAGTCCCATGTATTCATTTTTCCCTTTGTTTCTGTTGCCTTAGATGTTGTGTCAGTGAAAATTCTGCAGTGTATGATGTCTGAAATTTTGTTGCCTAGATTTTCTTCTAAAATTTTTATGGATTCACAAGTTACATTTAAGTCTTTTATCCATTTTGAGTTTATTCTTGTGTATGGTGTAAGTTGGTGTTCTAGCTTCACTTTTTTGCATGTAGCTGTCCAATTTTCCCAATGCCATTTGACCCAGTGATCCACTTCTAGGAATATACCCTAAGAAACCTAAAACACCAATCAGAAAGAATATATGTACCCCTATGTTCATAGCAGCACTATTTACAATAGCTAAGATCTAGAAACAGCCCAAATGTCCATCAGTAGACAATTGGATAAAAAAGCAGTGGCACATATCCACAATGGAGTACTATGCAGCTGTGAGAAATAAAGATCTGTTATCCTTTGAGATGGCATAGAAGGACATGGAGAGTATTATGCTAAGCAAAACAAGCCAAGCAGAGAAAGACAAATATCACATGATCTCACTTGTTTGTGGAATGTATGAACTAAACAAACTGCTGAACAAAATTAACCCAGAGACATGGAGGTGGGATACAGCCTGACAAGCCTCAGAGGAGGGGGGTTTATGAGGGAAGAGATGAACCACAGAACTTACATGCATGTATGCATGGCCAATGAACATAGACAACAAAGCTGGGGATGGGGTGATGGGGAAGGGGAGGAGGGTATCAATGGAGAAAAACATCTGTAACAAAAACAAATTAATACATAAAAAATTACAAGACATGTTAAAAAATATATAAAATCAGCAAAAACCAAGAAAAAAAAATAAGGACATGAATGATTCAAATGTTGAAGTTATTGTCAAGGGGTTTTATAATGAATATAATTAACACGTAAAAGAAGGTAGAGGGAAAAATTGTAGTCTAGTCCCCAAATACTTGAAATTTTTTAGAAGACTCAAATGGAATTTATAAATTCCTACCTATTCAGAGCTGTCTCCTACCTATTTCTTTAGCCCAACTGCCTACCATTTCTTAAGAATTCTGTGTTTAGTTAGATGCAACTACCAGCATTTCACCAAACACGGTGCTTTCTTTCATGTTGTAAAGCATTCACACTTGTTGTTCTTGGAAATTGGAATGCTCTCACACTACCCACTTGTCCTCCTAAAAAAATATATATTTATGGCCCTGGCCGGTTTGGCTCAGCGGTTGGAGCGTCGGCCTGCGGTACAGAGAGACCTGGGTTCGGTTCCCGCTAAGGGCACGTACCTCGGTTGCAGTTTGTCCCCGGCCCTGGTTGGTCGTGCGGGTGGCAGCCACTCGATGTGTCCCTTCACGTCGATGTTTCTCTCTCTCTCTCCCTTCCTCTCTCTCCCTCCCACTCTATCTGTACAAAAAAAAAAGGAAAAATATCCTCGGGTGAGGATAAAAATATATATATATATATATATATATATATACACACAAGTAACCATCATAAATAAGGCTTTTCTTGAGAAATTCTCCTTAAAACCCTCAGATGCATTTAGACATGCCTTCCAATGTTCTGATAGCACCAATTGCATACTCTATCAAAACATTTTCCATTGGTATTTCAAGTTTTTATACCTCTGGTGGTCTCTAGTGGGCCAAGAACACTGATGTGCTAGAACTGACCTATAATATTTTCATAAATCTGGGCCCTGGCCAGGAGGCTCAGTTGGTTGGAGCATCCTCCTATGAGCCTAAATGTTGCAGGTTTGATTCCTGGTCAGGACACACCTAGGTTTCGGGTTTGATCCCTCCCTGGTTGGTACAGACAAGAGATAACTAGTTGATGTTTCTCTCTCACATTGATGTTTTTCTCTCTCTCTCCCTCTCTTTCTCCCTTCCTTTCTCTCTAAAATCAGTAAACATATCCTCGGGTGAAGATTAAAAAAAGGTTTTGTTAAACATAATTGTTATTAAAAAATTAAATTACATAAACTAAAAATTAAATTAATTATATTAAAGACAAAAATAGTTAACCTTTAAAAACTCATTGCTATCTAATTATCTATTATAATCTATGCTCTAACCAAAATGAGATATAATGATGTTCTATTCATCTCTTTCCAAATCTGTTTTTAAGGACATCATGTTGTTAGCCTGAAATTAGCCATAGTAGGAGTGTTTACACCACAGACAAATGAAATTCTAAAAGCCAGGACTTGATCTTTTCTTACAATGATTATACAGACTCAAGTAAACTATGGAGAAATGTTAATAGTGCAGATTTAACTTAAAAGGATGTTATATCTATAACCTTTACATTGTGAAAAGAATAAAAAATTTGAGAAAATATTTTTCTAGTGTGTGAAAACTATTACTCAATTCAGAACAAAGTTGTTCACATCCCTGACAAATGAATAAAGTTCTAACATACATATTTAAGGTTTCCCTTTTATTATACTTACCAACCTATGTAAAAATTTCAAGAATTCCTATATATTCTGTGAATTTTTTCTGTAAGACTGAAAATAAGTAAAAGGGTAAGTGAGAAAGAAAAATATGATAGTCTTCCACAGACCAAATGGTAAAGCTATCCAAAAAATAGAGATAATATTACTATATATTCATCACATAAAATATTTCTCTTTTAGTGGTGATTGATTTGAGTCAATCATATCCACACTGGATAAGAACAGTTTCTTTTGTGTAATTTAAAAAGTCAATACAGCCCTGGCTGGTTTGGTTCAGCAGTTAGAGCATAGGCCTGTGGACCAAAGAGTCCTAGGTTCAATTCCAGTCAAGGGCATATACCTCAGTTTCAGTTCGGTCCCTGGCCCTGGTTGGAGTCATGCGGGAGGCAACCAATAGATGCGTCTCTCGCACAGCAATGTTTCTCTCTCTCCCCTCCCACTCTATCAGAGGATAAGTGGAAAAATATCCTCTGGTGAAGATTTTTTTAAAAAGTAAATAAATACTTATTGAGTGAATGCTATCTGGAATACACTATGCCAAGTACCACAAGTGTATAGTCCTTGCTTTTAAGAAGCTTAAATTCTAAAAAGAGAGAAAATTATCGAAAAATACAGTATATATTTGGACATTCTAAGTAACGATGAAAAAAAAAAAAAAAAACCACAGGGTATTTGAATTTAGAGGGTAGCATCCTAACCAGTTTGCTCAATAGTTAGAGCATAGGCCTGAGCACTGAAGAGTTGTGGGTTAGGTTCTAGGTCCAGTGCATGCATGTACCAGGGTTGCAGGTTCAATCCCCCACCTAGTCAGGGTGAGTGCAGGAGGCAACCAATCGTTGTGTCTCTCTCAAATTGATGTTTCTCTCTCTCTCTCTCTCTCTCTCTCTCTCTCTCTCTCCCCTTCCTCCCCCTCCCTCTAAAAATCAATGGAAAAAATATCCTCTGGTGAGGATTAACAACAACAAAAAATTTTCATTGGATAGATAGTTGTCATATGCTTGGAAAGAGCAGGAAAAACTTCCTGAAGATTGTGTAATACAAAGTGGCCTTTAAGTCAGTAGGATTTTAACAAATGAAGACTATCCCATACTGTGGAGCAAAATTATGATGAGATGAAAATATTACTGAAACAACTGAAGAAATTGAAGTCAGACTCAGAACCTCATATATAAATAACAGCATTATAGAAAGAGTTTATAAGACAGATGGAAAAGTAAAAGAACATGTATTTTAAAAACTTTCTTAATTTGATGAAAAAATATTAGTCTTCAGATTCAATGAGCTCAAAATCTTAGTCACGATTAAATGTGGAAACTTTTACATCTACACATTTTTGTTTATATTTCTGAACTACATAAAGAAAGAGATTTATAAGCCTCCAGACTTAAATGAAGTTATGAATTTGTAGGGTGCATAGAAGTCCTCCATTTCAGGGAAAGAAACACGCCAGCAATGGTCCAGAGGCAGAAGAACTAAAGGTCTTTTCAAAGTAGGGAGTGATCGAGATGAATGGCTAGGGTTTAGAGTAAAGCCAATGACCGCAATGGGAAATAAAACCAATTCACTCACAGAGTGACTAATAACTGAGTGTATAATTGCTAGCTTGCTTGTACATTCTGCATTGAAAATCTACATTAGCTTTGTTAGCAGCTAATTTAGTCAGGTAATCAAACTCAGCATGAAATCTTATTTTATTTATGAGATTTAAACACCATAGAATGCAAAACAAAAATCTTTATTTGGCTTCTTTCTCTTCCTTCCTTCTTTTCTCTCCTTTCTTTTCTTTTTTTTTAGCAATATTGACTACATTTGTTTTATAGAAAGTTAATTACAACTTAAGGGTCCTAAATTTTAGCTTTAATCATTGTTATGATTACTATTGATGGAAGAAAAAACTAGCAGGTTTGTAACAAACATGTTAGCATTGTCATTAGGTTATCACAGTTGTTATCTATCCTTAATATTTTCAATAGAAAATTTTATTTTGAATATCTTAAATTATCTACATTAGTATCAATCACTATTCTAAATTAATCCTAGAGTAGGTTTTGGTACTTCAATGGTATACTGAGTTTAATAATTAAATATTAATACCTAATCCATGAAATATTATTAAAATATATGGAAATTGTTAATCTAGTAAAACCTGATGCAGTATAACTAACAAAATATAAAAACTAAATCAAGGTCACATTTCATAAAATCTTATTAAGGAAAAAACAGATCACAATTAATCAAATTGATTGCTAATAGGTCTTTCTACCACTTTCTGCCTCAGGGGTATGATGATGGCTATGGGGGTGAATACGATGACCAGACCTATGAGACGTATGATAACAGCTATACCACCCAAACGCAAAGGTAAGGCATTTGCTGCCTAATGCATCCTTTCCTGGATTATTTCTAATCCTGCTGTTTTGTTTCACATATATGAATATCAGTTATGTTATGTGAGAGTTTCTGCTAGTGGTTTTTCTCCATTGTCTGTCTGACTTATTAAGTTGCTTAGACTGTGCAAGGTAAAAGATAATAACTTGCAATTGTTAATAATGAAGTAGTGGTGTGTTATTTTAAGACCAGATGATTATGATAATCAATGAACTCATTAACAACCCTGTATTTAATAAAATAGTTATTTTTAAAGATTATTTTAGTGATTTCATAATTAAGGCAACAATAAAAACAAATCAATTGTTCAATGTAGTTATTTTTTCCCTAAAATGTAATTTTTATTTGTAATACAAAAGATAAGGAAACATTGGTGCTCTGAAATGAGGAATATTCATAAAACACCTTAATGAATCAAGAATTCCTTTTCTTTCCTGATGGGTCTCTAATAAATGTTGAATATATCTCATTAGATTAACTCAAACTTTGTGATATCAATGAATTTTTACCTTTTTTAAGTCAAGATTTATTTAGATGTTATTTATATACAGTAAATCTTGCCCATTGAGGGTACAGTTTGGCAAACCACCAAAATTACGAAAGGGCCTTTTAATCAGTCCAAGATGTTTCTTTATGGCCTATTATAGACAACTTTTCAACCCAGGCCTTGGACACCACGACTTTATTTTTGTCACTACACTTTTGCCTTTTCTAGAACACCATGTAAGTAATATGAAGCAATACAAATGTGGCCTTTTGAGTCTGGCTTCTTCACTTAGCATAATGTTGTTGATATTTATTCATGTTGTGCATATCAGTGTTCTGCTTCTACGGTGCAGTGTTTTATTGTAAGGATGTACCACAGTTTCTTCATTCACCAGTAAAGGATATTCAGGTTGTTTCTATTTTTTGTGGTTATGAATAAACTTGAAATAAAACATATGCATTTTTAGAAAAATCATTCACAAAATAAGTTTTTTTCTGAAAAAAAAAAAAGTTTTAGTGAGTTACAAATTTCATGGAAAAGTAGGGGTCCATATACCATTAGTCGGTTCTCCCTATTTGTGATTCATAGAAACCAGTGTAACTCATTGTCACAAAATCATTATAGACTTGATCATTGATTGATCAACTTTATTGGCACCCAAAAAAATTTGAATGATTTGTTAAATAATATTTGGAGGAGAGAAGATGGCAAAGAAAGGAACAACTGGAAGGTCATTATAGAACAAAGGAAATCCACTGTGTTGCATAAGTGTGCGCTTTTCACAACCTGAGAGACAGCAGAGTGAAAGGGGTGAAGGCAGATCTATTTAAAGAGAATACTGTAGGCAATTAGGAGAAAGATAGGTGTGAACGGATCCCTTTAAAGCTAAGCCAGACAAAAGATATTGTTAAAGAAATTACCATCTTCAACTTAGAGTAACTGATGAGTTTATAGTAGGTTAAATAGAAAAACCACCATGAACTAAGAGCTTTTACTGTGGTTAACCTCTTAAGTGTCCCAATTACATATTGGAACACAGCAGCTATTTGGGATTGGGGAGTTTTGCTTCACATTATAGACAGTAAATAAGAAGTATATGCAACTTGGCAACATATTTAAGACAACTGCTAATATTTTCAACTAAATTGCTAGTCCATCACTGTGTATTAGTACATAAAAAACAGTGATAACAAAATTCTTTAATTTGTTTCAGAAACTGTTTGGTAGAAAACACAATTACCACACACTACATACACAACTAGAACATAGTACGATACTTTCTTAACGTAGCTCTTCAGAGTCACAGTCAGCTTGTAGAGATTTTGGAATAATTTTCTGAATGTGAGGAACTTTTAACATCTTTCTTCCTGTTAAATTTAAATGGGCTTAATTGACACTAAGAAAAAAGAAAGAAGCAAAACATTGGAAATTAGGATAACTTATCTTTGAATATTTAAAAAGTGAATACTACAATAATTGAACATAATTATATTTTTAAAAGTAATAATAATATAGAATAATTTGGGGGGAAATGTATCTTGTTTAAATGAAGTATGATTTATATTTAAAAGAATATTTTCTATGTCCTTCTGCTACCTTTTTTTCTTTACCATATATTCATTTTTCTATGGTAAAATTCTTTCTACTCATCTAGGTCTAGCTCAAAATTTAACACTTCCAAAAGGTCTTTCCTTAGACTTTTATTTAGGAATAACCTGTTTCTGTCCTAAATTCCAATAGCAACATATCTTTATTTCTCCATGGCACTTTCTATCTCCATCTTACATTGGGATCATCTGTGCACATGTGCCCTATCACCTGTACTACGTGCCCAGAATCCTTGTCTAATCCACCCTCATGTCCTTCCCAGTATCTGGCATTGAGACTTCATGGGCTGTGTATTGAATAGATGATTGCCGAATACATGAATGTCAGACCTGATGTGTCCCTACAATATGAAGACTCAAAATAAAAGCTTCATGACTCAAAAAGAATACAATATTTAGAAATATATGCATCATATTTACTGACAAAATAGTTCTGTGTTTTGAGATATGTTAGTGCCAAACAAGAAAAGATAAAAAGAGCAGGTCATGAATTTAGTTGTAATGATAATAATATTCTGTATTATAATAATTGTAAAATAATATTCTGTATTCCAATAATTATAAAGTATATATTTTGGTCAAAACATATTTTCAATACTATTATAGTGTATGGCACACTAGAGGTTTTCAGTAAGGATTTGTTGAATAAATAAAATTAAACTAAATGAATGTATTAATGAGTGAGTGAATTAACACTATTATTTCGGAAAACTCTGTGGGGAAATATTCTTTTTTTTAATCAATTAATTAATTTATTTTTGTTACAGATGTTTCTCCTTTAAACCCCACTGATACCCCCGCCCGTTCCTCCCCGCCCGCCCTGTCCCCAGCTTTGTTATCCATGTCCTTTGGTCATGCATACATGAATATAAGTTCTATGGTTTATCTTTCTCCCCACCCCCTCTTCTAGGGATTGGCAGTCTGTACCCCACTTCCAAATCTCTGGAACTACCCCGTTCCTCAGACTGTTATGTTCATTATATTCCACAAATAATTGAGATTATGTGATATTTGTCTTTCTTTGCTTGGCTTGTTTCGCTTAGGATAATACTTTCCAGGCCCATTCATGTCATCTCAAAGAATAAGAAATCTTTCTTTCTTATAGCTGCATAGTACTCCATTGTGTATATGAACCACAGCTTTTTTTTTTTTTTTAATCCTCACCCGAGGACATTTTTCCATTTTTTGTACAGATAGAGTGGGAGGGAGAGAGAGGAAGAGAGAGAGAGAGAAACATCGATGTGAAAGGGACACACCGAGTGACTGCCACCCGCACGACCAACCAGGTCCGGGCACAAACTGCAACCGAGGTACGCGCCCTTAGCGGGAACCGAACCCGGGTCTCTCCGGACTGCAGGCCGACGCTCTAACCGCTGAGCCAAACTGGCCAGGGCATGAACCACAGCTTTTTTATCCATTTGTATACTGATGGACATTTGGGCTGTTTCTAGATCTTAGCTATTGTAAATAGTGCTGCTATGAACATGGGGGTACATAGATTCTTTCTGATTGGTGTTTCAGGCTTCTTAAGGTATATTCCCAGAAGTGGGATCACTGGGTCAAATAGCAGTTCAATTTTTAATTTTTTGAGGGAACACCATATTGTTTTCCATAGTGGCTGCACCAGTCTGCATTCCCACCAGTAATGTACTAGAGTCCCCTCTTCTCCACACCCTCACCAACACTTGCTGTTTGATGATTTGTTGATGGCAGCCATTCTGACAGGTGTGAAGTGATACCTCATTGTTGTTTTAATTTGCATCTCTCTGATGATTAGTAATGTTGAGCATTTCTTCATATGTCTCTCAGCCGTTTGTATGTCCTGTTTGAAGAGGTGTCTATTTAGTTCCTCTGCCCATATTTCAGTTGGGTTCTTTGTCTTCCTTTTGTTGAGCTATATGAGCACTCTATATATTTTGGAAATTAACCCCTTATTTGATGTATCATTGGCAATTATGCTCTCCCATAGAATGGGTTGCCTTTCCATTTGGGTGGTTATTTCTTTTCCTGTGCAGAAGCTTTTGAGTTTGATGTAGTCCCATGTGTTCATTTTCTCCTTTGTTTCTGTTGCCTTAGGTGACGCATCAGTGAAAATTCTGCTGCATATGATGTCTGAAATTTTGTTGCCTACGTTTTCTTCTAGGATTTTTATGAGTTCATGAGTCACATTTAAGTCTATTATCCATTTTCAATTTATTCTTGTGTATGGTGTAAGTTGATCATCTAGTTTCATTTTTTTGCAAGTAGCTGTCCAATTTTCCCAACACCATTTATTAAAGAGGCTGTCTTTACTCCACTATATGCTCTTGCCTCCTTTGTCAAATATAAACTGAGCATATTGTCTTGGGTCCATTTCTGGGTACTCTATTCTGTTCCATTGATCTATCTGCCTGTTCTTGTGCCAGTACCAGGCTGTTTTGATTACAGTGGCTTTGTAGTATAACCTGAAATCTGGTAATGTGATCCCTCCAACTTTGTTCTTTTTCAATATTGCTGTGGCTATTCGAGGTCTTTTTGGTTCCATATGAACTTTTGAAGTATTTGCTATAATTCTGTGAAGTATGTTGTTGGTATTTTGATGGGGATTGCATTGAATCTATAGATTGCTTTGGGTAGTGTGAACATTTTAATGATGTTAATTCTTCCAATCAATGAACAAGTTATGTGCTTCCACTTTTTATATCTTCCTCTATTTCTTTTTTTTAATGACCTGTAGTTTTCTGTGAATAGGTCCTTTATTTCTTTGGTTAATTTTATTCCTAGGTATCTTAATTTTTTTGCTGTGATGGTAAATGGATTTGTTTTTAGTTTCTCTTTCTGTGACTTCATCATTGGAGTATAAGAATGCTATCAATTTCTTGACGTTAATTTTGTATCCT